CAAGCTATATTTTAAGACTAAATGGATCCTTAGCCATACACATTTGAGCACTCACTCTGTACCAGAGACTATTCTGGACACTGTCTAGTGCCTTACTTAGCCCATTTAATCCTCATAACCACCTGTGAGGCAGCACAGCTGTCCTCAGGACAGCTGCTGGTGTCAGGAGCCCCTTAGGGTACCAAAGCACGAGGATGCTCGACCCCACACAAAATGACGAAGTCATTGTGGATAGCCTGGCACATCCTCTTAGCTTCCCATCATCTCTTGAGCACTCACACTGCCTAAGACAAGTGCCAGGGCAACAGCTGGCATCGTATACTCTTTAAAGAACGAGAGGAAAGTCTGTGCAAATCCTGGACAGGTTTTTTTTTTTTTTTTTCTCTCGGGTACCTCCACTATGGGCTGTTAGGATGCAGAATCTGCAGGCCAAGTTTGTAAGCCATTTTGAGACAGGGTCTCACTGGGTAGACCAACCTGGCCTTGCCTCTACCTCCTTCATGCTAGGAATAAAAGCATTCACTACAACACACCCAGCCTTCCAAGTCATTATTTGGGGGGGGAGGGTTGTTTGTTTGTTTGGGTTTTTTTGTTTGTTTGTTTTTCTCGAGATAGGGTTTCTCTGTGGCTTTGGAGGCTGTCCTGGAACTAGCTCTTGAAGACCAGGCTGGTCTCGAACTCACAGAGATCCACCTGTCTCTGCCTCCTGAGAGCTGGGATTAAAGGCGTGCACCACCACCGCCCGGCCCAAGTCATTGTTTTTGAGATTTATTTTACATGTATGACGTTTTGCCCATGTGTATGTATTCATACCATGTATGTGCCTGGTACCCCAGAAGATCAGAAGAGGGTATTGAATCGCTTGGAACTGGAGCTACAGATATGAACCACCACATGGGTGCTGGGAACCACACCCTGGTCCTCTGCAAGAGCAACGAGTGATCTTAAGTGTTGAGCATCTCTCCAGACCCCTCCAAGTCCAATTTTATCTATCTATCTATATTTTTTTCCTAGATAAAAGTCTCAGGCTAAAGAGGTGGTACAGTGACTTAGAGTACTAGAAGCTTTTTCAGGGGGCCCACAACTGTCTGGAACTCATCCAGTTCCAGGGGATCAGCCAGCACCCTCTTCTGGCCTCCCAGGGCACCAGAAACTCACGTATAGACATGCAGGCAAAACATCCATACACACAAAATAAAAATAAACTTTAAAGCCACATACAGTTAACGTGGGGTGACATCTATCTGGCTCCAATGCCTCAGCCATCACTAACACAGAATGAGTTCAAGTGGTGGGGAGAAAGGGCCAGGCAGAATGACAAGACCGGCAGAAACCTCTGGAAGACACTGCACAGCACTGTCGGAGGCTCTCTCCTTTGATTATGGGAATTTTCATGAACAGACCTGCACAGCCATACTGGCCACAGCTGGCCACTGAGCACTGAAAAAGGACTGGTGTGATAAAATACACAAGTTTGTTCTGGCTTGATTTTTAAGGGTCCTCCCCCTACCCCGACCTCCCTCTCTGTCTCTGTAGCTTAGGCTGGACTAGAACTTGCAATCCTCCTGCATCAGCTTCCTGTATTCTGGAACTGCACCATCAAGCACATCTAGAAATCACTTTTTTTCCCCCTCTTTCTTGAACTTGCTGTGTAGACCAGGGTGACCTTACACCCACAGAGATCCATGAGCCTCTGCCTCCTGAGTACTGGGCCTAAGGGCATGCATCACCACACACCAGCATTTTATTATTATTAATATTATTATTATTATATTTATTTATTTATGTGCACAATCCACAATCCATATGCAGAAGCCAGAGAAACAACCCTTGGGAGTAGTCTATCATCTCAGTCTGCCAGCAAGTGCTCTTCTTTAGCTACTGAGCATTCTCGCCTGCCCATTTTACTTGTTCTATTAATTTGAATTTTAATAGCTACCAATGGCCACTGGCTCATCTGAGACAGCTTTAGCCCTTGATTCAGTGTGGTGACTGGGTTTGTGGCACTCAGGCCTGCAGGGACAAATGGAAGGCTTGCAGAGGGAGGGAACATGTATTTGCAGCCAGGAGATCTGAGGTTACTTTGTTTATGTAACCCAGCAAAGGCCCCACTCATCTACATAGCTTGATAAGGGTCAGATGAGGTAGAGAACAGCCAGGCTCTTGTTGCCTTCAGATCCTCATCTGAGATGGTTCCTCTGTCTAGTTGCCTCCTGAGACAATGTGTCCCTGGAGAGGTGCTACCCAGTGTTCACTCAGAGAGACTGAAGCATCTCTCTCTTCAGGATTTGCTCTTGGCCATGGTCAGGATCCTTTTAGGGTGGAGTCTGCATGACTGATCTCACACAGGCCCCAAGAGCTTTACAGGGAATCCATAAATGTGTTGCAATGAATGAACGAGGGGGAGAGCCCAAGGGGGAGAGGCTTTTGGTAACAGGGAGTCAGATGAGGGAGGGAGGGCCTTTACTCAGTTCTTCAACCATTTAGGCAAATGTCCTCAACCCTGGATGTGCCCAAGAATCACAAGCAACAATTTTGACTTTTAAAAGTCTAGAACTTTCTCTCTAATATTCTGACACAAGTTTAATGAATGGTCAGGGATCAAGAATTGTCATTTTTGGTTGGGAATGGTGGTGCATAACTTTGATCCCAACACTCAGGAAGCAGGGGCAGAGGCAGGTAGATATCTGAATTCAGGGCTAGCCTGGTCTACAGAGAGTTCCAGGTCAGCCAGGGTTATATAAAGAAACCTTGTCTCAAAAAAAAAAATGTCATTTTTATAAAAATGACATCCTTCCTAGCCAAAGTCCTATCCTAGACAAAAATATCCTTCAGAAAAACACTAATTCAAAATAAGGCTAGGAATGCAAGTAGGTTTTATGTACAGAAAGAGGTTGCCCCAAAGAGAATTCAGAAGTCGAGTGGAGATTTAAATACTTAGGCCTCTATGCTGCTGTGTGTATTTTCCTGCCTTGCAGAAGGAAAGGGGAACTGAAGCCACCCATACCCAGGCTGTCCTCAGTCAACAGCACCTAGAATGTTTGACGTAGCAGAAGTCTCAATTCCACCTGGTCCAGAGGAGTCCTAGCAGGCCCTCGTGGGGCAGACTTTAAGAATGCCACTGATGGATTTCCCCTGTGAGGCAGCTCCAGCTGGCCTCCCTTCTCTGAAGCCAAACATCTCACAGTCATTTGCTCCACACTTCCTGTTTGATGTTTGCTTCTTGATTGTCACTCTCTCGTTTGTGGCTGTGCCAGTGTGGGTGTGGGAGATGGGCTGGGGACTTGTACTTCTCTGCATTTTCCTTCTGAGCTGGGAGGGCTTTCACTTCCTCCCCAGACTCCCAGTTCTGCCTTCTAAAGGCTGCTCAGGTCAGAAGACACCCCCACCCTTGGGTGTCCTTTCTGAACCACAGAAAAACAGAACTCATCCCCAAAGTGCCTCGCAACTCCTTAGGAACAGAGGGGAATGGTGGTGTGGTGCTGGGGGTGGTGGGGGTAGTAACTGAGACAGGCAGAGAGGCCCACTCTTGCTCTCCCAAGAAGCGACACTTCGGTCCTGCCTGGCACTATGAGAAGCCAAGTGGGGACCTTCTCTTCCATCGGTGCCTTCTGCCCCAGAATTCCACCAGATGAGAGTGATGTTCAGCTTGCCCCAAATGCCCTCAGCTCTGCCTAATGGTCTAGTTCAACAGTGAGAAATATTAGGGACCTAGGGAAGGCTGAGACATGGAAGGAAGGTCTAGGGATCCAACAACTGAGCCTGACAGTTTTCTATTGCACCTCTCTGGACCTCAGACTCTTCTCAAAGCTTTATGGCAATCCAGCAGAGGATTAAACATATGTAGAGCCCAGCAGCAGTGTCCCATGCCTTTACAGAACAGCACTCAAAAACAAAACAAACAAATGTGTAGAAGGCAGGGTGGTGGTTAATGCCCGAAATCCCAGCACTCAGGAGACGGGGGCAGGAGAAGCACAAGTTTGAGGCCTGCCTGGTTATGTGAGACCCTATCTAAAAAAAAAAAAAAATAGGAAAAAGAAAATATATGCAGGAGTAGCAAGCGGAGCATGTAAATTCTGCCTTTCAGGGAGAGAGAGAGGGCTAACAGTGTGTTCTCCAGCCACTGCCTCCACAACCAGCACTGCAGAAATCTCCCCAGTGCCCCTTAACTTTCTCCATGTCCTCGCAGAAGTCCTCAGCCCCTAAAATAACAAGTAGAGAAGCAGTTGCCCAGTTCCTCCAGAAGATACCAGGCAGGCTGCTGGGCCTGCAACCAGAGCCCACTGAGAGGCCTAGACCCTCAAGGCAGAGTGCAGGGAAGGCAAACACAGAACTCCTACCCTGTGCCTGGTCCACCCGATTATCAGGAAGGGATGGGGCAGGGGTGGGGGCACAGTTCTAAGAGGTCCCACATCCCTTGCTGTCAGGCTCACCGGACTGGGGTGGGTGGAGGTGGGTGTTGGCACTCTGCATGCCAGGGCTAGTACTAGCTAAAGGGGTAAGTATGTGAGGCGGGAGCACCCGTGACTCAGAGCCCATGATGTCAGACCCTTCACAATCAGGTCACTATCATCACACACGACATGGCCCACAGTGGAACTGAGGAGAGCCAAGCGAGGAGCCACAGCTAAAGCAGAAGGAGCCAGTGGCACAAAAGACTCTCCAGAGGGGACTATTACTCCGCTAGGGCGCGCCCTTTGGGTATCTTCCTTCAAAATGACCCGGGATGCAACTGAGTAAGACACATGGGAACACTGGGAACTAGACACCAGAGTCGGGTTTCGGGAAAACACACAGTCGTGTACTCAGACTTTAGGCAACTGCCCAGACAAACAGGAGCCGGCAGTCAAGGGTGCTAGACGCAGCAGGGGGCGCACGTACCACCACCACGTCCGCACAGGTGGGTTATCCCCGGCGGGTACCCCTGTGCCCGCAGAGGCTCACGCTGCCCACAGAACGAGTCAGTGTCACATCCCCCTGCCCGTTCCAGGTCGTCTTACCCAGCGCGCGGCAGCTCCCGAGGACCAG